AGCACTAATCTTCAGCAGAATTCCTAAAAGAGAAAAAAGAATATTCAAACCTTCAAATTGAACTGAGAAGCCGGTGCGACCGCTCGTTGCCCTCCCCCTTCCGCCAATATTAGCCATATTACGTTCGTTCGAAGTGTTAAAACACTTACACGTGCCACGTCCCATTCGTAAGTTTTTCTGTAGGTGGAGAATAGCAATCGCTACAGGGACCTTGCTTCCAATCTCCGTAATAGACGATGGCTGGGTCGGCATCGTCTATAACTATCCAATCTTGAGCGAGTGCGGAATTACATAGAATCGATAATAGGAAAGCGAGAGTGATGAAAAAGAGTGAACTAGGTTGTTTTGGTGACATTGTGGATAGTATGATGTTAGTATGATGTCTCCCTGCGACTTGATGAACTGGACGTTCGGCTGAAAGTATCGATAGAAAAACCGAATTAATTAGCCCAGGGCTATATATTCCTTCCTTGAATGATAAATATGCTTGAGACTGTCCTGATATTAGGTATTATGTTGAACTCAGGTACAGCAGAGGCAGTTGCAAGCCCAGTGATTAGGAGCGCTTACAGCGCGTGCTGTAGTACTCCAGGACTTGATTGAAGCACCTTGTTCGATCCAGAGGTGAAAGGAATGCACAAGAAACGGTGCTAGCGGGCGTGTACGAGTTGCCGAGGGGGATGGGAGAGGAGCAAGTTGGTTGATAGTGAAGCTCACATGAAAGAGGCGAGAAAGGAGAAACCTACGGAGAAAAGTCAGTTGGGATAGTGAATGAATTCCAGGAACATGCCTCTTTAACAATCAACGAGCTCCTCTTGCCAGATTGGGACCGAGTATTAGCCATAGCCTACCCTAGGCGATCCCGAAATTCTCATTGCCGCGCTTCGTCATTGGATTCCTAGCCATAGCGGCTGAATTTTATGCTGTTCATGGGGTTGGTTGTGCTCTAGAATTCTTTAACGCGAATTTTAGCCCAAATTTTTATCGTCGTCAACAAACGAAGAATAACAGAAGCAGGCAAGGGAGCTACCCCATAATCCCAGCCACCTGCTGCCATTCTTTTTCCACGACTGGCATTTCCCTATACTCGAGTTTGGATCCTGACGAATTTCTGACGTTTGATTTCTTTTGGAGACTAGAATTGGCTATCGACTATTCCCCATCTAGGGCGCAGTGATCAATATAGTTGGTTTTGGATGTTTATTCGGACCGCCCGATCCCCTTCAGTCTCATATCGGCCAAACTCGTACCTTTGCAACTATAGGATCCGTTGATGTCAAGCTATAATGGTTGGAGAGGTAATGCCGCGTCAATGTGCCCCAAACCAAGAAGAGTGAAAGGCGAGCTTCTATCGGTCCCTATTTACTAGGTCTACTCTCTTTTTCCTCGGCTTATTCTGATTGAGCGGACTTTCTGCACTCAATACAGTTTTGCTCTGTCATTGAGTACCACATCGGCGCTGTTAGTCCCGGTAAGACGGCTCCGGTAAATAGCTAACAAGTGTTCGAAAAGGGGTAGAGCTAAAAGAGGCCGCACGACGCAATTGCTCACTGCAATAGCTGGGATTCGTGATATCATCTCTTCCAGGCTAAGAAGGGAGGCGGCAATGATGCAACGAGATAAATCCAGGGAGGTTGCGCATCCACTCGCTCGGGCAGATATTCAAGGACATAAAAATATGTTTCTAGGGGCATTGAAACAATCACATGAATGTTTTCATCCCCAGAGGTACGAGCTGTTCACTATTTCTAGCCCATAAATCTATATAATTAACCTACAGTGTTGAATACAGACAACACTATTCTCTCCAATCCCACAGGAGTGAATATTCACACTATATCAAAGAAAGTGGGCCAAATGAGTGAAACCTCCCAAGCTGATCCACTGTTCTCGAGAAACATCACTCCCTTGCTCTGTCGTCCGGTCATTTGCGGTGATCAAAGGTGCTCATGAGACGTGATGATACTCGCGATTCTCCTTTCTATTTCCCACAGTCTTCGTCTGGCAAACGCCGCACCAGGTGTTGAAACAAGTTGGCCTGGGACGGGGGGTAGTCAGTGTTTCCGCCTTTCCTCC